AAAAAATAAAAATAAATAAAAGAATCTTCTAACTCTGGGCAATAAAATCCTGTCTGGTACTCTGTCTTTTCCATCCAATACATAAAGTAGCCTTTAATGACATCACTCCATCTACTTGCCTATGATTTTTATTTTCATTTCTCAGCCTGATAATCAAATATTTAACAGGAGGGGTATGTCTGGTGCAAATGTCTAGAGGAGCCGGATGGAGTTTTGAGTTCCTGTAAAAAGCTAAGCTCAGGTCCCGCTGAACCGTAAGCCTGTCCGGGCAGGGCGGGAAATGAATTCACGCAGCCCAGGGTCGGGCTCAGTAGGGGCTCGGGACAAGCCGAACCGAACTGCTTGGCCGGACTGGGCCTCCAGTTTAGTTTGCTGGGTGGGGGGACCTCCCTAGGGTTGTCAGGTCGGAGCCCAGTAGCCGAGGATGTGTCTCCTTGGTAAGCATGAGGAGGGAAGTGGGGGGACGCCCTCCAGGAAGGAGCTCGGGACAAGTGGGGACAAGCTCCGGTCATCCCCCCTGCCCCCCGCTGCTCACCTGCAGCACCTGGGCATTGTCACCCTGGACAGCGTAATGGAAGGCTGTCTCCCCATTGTTGTCCGTGACGTCCATCTGGGCATGGCAGTACTGCACCAGTTCCACCAGGATCTCCCCGTCACCCTTGCGGCAGGCCAGGTGCAAGGGGGTGCAGCCCTCCTCACTCTCCCTGTTATTGGCGCAGCTGCAGGGGCGGGGGTGGGGTGGGCACAAGGAGGGAAGGGTGCTGAGAAACTCAGGGGCAGCAGAGGGCAGTGGGCTAGGGGCTCAAGAGCATTCCTGCCACCTTCGGGCTGGCTCACAGTTTATTTGGGACCGATGTGATTTTAACAGTCATTTACTTGCACGCCCGTACGAGGGATGGGTCCTAGGGCCCCACCAGCCAGAAGTCGGTGGTGGGGTGGCACAGAACGGGTCAGAATGCTGAAATCTCATCAACCTCAGACAGTTCACTTAACCTTGCTGGGCTTCAACATCCTGATCTACAAAAGAATAACAATAATGCCCGCCCTAGGAAAGGGACAGGGCCTCGGGGAGGTTAATCCCCACGAGGTCCAAGAACAGGCCTGGAAACTATAAAGGGCAGCGAGGAATTCTGAGCCTGGGGCCTGGGGGCTGAGCCATACTGTGGCCACCTCAGGGCAAGCGGGTGAGCCAGAATACTTCAGCAGGGCCCACACAGTCCCCTCTCGGGGGCACATCTGCTGACAAAAATATTGGCTGAAGGGCCACATGAGAGAGGGAGCATCCAGATCTTTGGAAGAAGACACGAGGACCTGAGGCCTCTTCAGCTCTCTCCAGCAAAGTGCCCTAGCATGGATCATATCCAAGGTACTGGGCAACTTTTGGCTTTACAGAGGGAAACTGAGGCAGGACTGAGCAACTGCCCCAGGCCCCGCCCATCCACACACACAGGCACATGCACTGCCCCTCCTGGCCCACCTGATGATGCGGCTGTGGTGGAAACACTCTCGGATCCCCAACTCCACCGCCAAGTGGGCCACCGACCAGCTGGGGTGGTTGCGGATGAGGTCGGTCAATTGCTGCAGGACCTCCACGTGCAGGATGTGGCTGGAGCTCTCGTAGAAGGGCGGCAGCTGCGAAGAATAGTGCTGGAAGTTCACGAGGGCATCCGCCTCCGTCTCCAGCTGGAAGAGTCTGTGGAGCCGGGACACGGGAGGACAACACAGAAATGAGCAGAAGCCTTGGGTCCCCCCGTACACAGGCTGCTGCCTGCCTCTGGCCGTGCAGGGACCCACTTCAGCTGGACTCCCCTTCCCACTGCATGCACATGCGCGCACACGCACGCACTCACACACCCACCTCCAAACGGAGTCAGGATTTTATTTTTATTTAAAAAAATTTTCTTTTCCATTTTTTATATCATCTCATGGTGCTTTTAAATTTTATTTTAACAAAGCCCTGTCATATCCACTTTCTAATTTGATTATGACATCTGAGAGCCCCAGCCTCAAGTCCCCGGCCCTCGCACACCATAGGAAGTAAATAAGCGTATAACTTAAATGTGCAGCAGAACACGATATAAACAGAGGCACAGCTATGGGATGGAACATTATGCAACCATTAAGATGCGATATTAAAAGAACAGTGAAATGTGATTTTGTAATGTTAAGTAAAAAAGCAAGATACAAATTTTATATGATACAATGTGATCTAAATTGTGTTAAAAAATATGTCAAAATGTACATGGTAGTATAGTAATCGAAATGTTCTTTATCCACTTCTGAAGTTTCTAAATTTTCTACAATGAGTTTATATAATTTTTGTTTTTTTAAGTAGGCTCCACACCCAGCATGGAGCTCAGTGTGGGGCCTGAACTCACGACCCTGAGATCGAGACCTGAGCCGAGATCAAGAGTTGGACGCTCAACTGACTGAGCCACCCAGGTGCCCCTATAATTTTTTATAATCAGAAAAAAATTTTTGTTTTTTCTTGTTTTTTTGAGAAACCAATCAGATGGTATCCCTTCCCTCTAACTCCCCCAAAGGAGGAGAAGAATGATCATTATAAACCTTGTTCATTTTTAGAGTTGTGTTTAAGTCCAAGGTTTGCTATTAAGCTGCTGTGTGACCTAGGGAAAATTCTTTCCCTCCCTGAGCCCTAATTTAAACATGAGACCAACTGTACCTGTCTCACCTATCTCACAGAGGTACTATGAGAATCAGATGGGATAGCCAAGTAATAGCACTTTAGAAATGGATAATCACAATGACGGTTGACACTGAAGATACTTGAAGTTTTGACCAGGGCATTCAACATTAAAGACCCATGGTCAGCCAGGGTCTAGCAGAGGTGGTGCCCAAAGAGTGTTGGCTCAACAAGCCTCGCCTGTTCTTTCCAAGAGGGAGTGCAATTGTTTAGCAAATATCTACTGAGTGCGTGTTCTGCACCTGCCATTGTTCTAGATGGAAGGGGTAAATTAATGAACAAAACAGATGACAAGCCCCACCTTCCCGAAGCCCGTGTTCTTAGGGGAGAGACCAACACAATGCGTAAGCGACAAATCAAAATAAGAAAGTACAATAAACAAATTGCCAGGTAATAAGTGCTAAAGAACAAACAAAGAAAGGAGGATATGGGAGGAAGTCCTTCCTCATTCTCCTTGGCTGGTTTTGTTCCATCTCGCCCACCTCTGCGCGTCAGAGGGCTCCATGTTAAATGCTGCTATATGTCAGACACGAAGACACTAAATGACACTGACAAGGACACTAAAAACTGATCACCGGATTTAGCATCAATAAAACATTAATGACCTTGACAAAGTACTTTTGGTGCAACAGTGGGAACAGGAGCCTGATGGGAGAGGGCCTGAGAAGGAATGGGATGTAAGAAATTGGAGAAGCAAGGGCCGCCTGGGTGGCTCAGTTGGTTAAGCGACTGCCTTCAGCTCAGGTCATGATCCTGGGGTCCTGGGATCGAGCCCCGCATCAGGCTCCCTGCTCAGCTGGAAGCCTGCTTCTCCCTCTCCCACTCCCCCTACTTGTGTTCCCCCTCACGCTGTCTCTCTCTCTCTGTCAATTAAATAAATAAATAAAATCTTTAAAAAAAAAAAAAAGAAATTGGAGAAGCAAGTATAGACGATATTTGTTAGGGGGTTCGCCACAGAGGGGAGCAAACTGAGGCAGCTAATGGGGAAAGTGGAATCAGGCATTTGAATGCTGCAGAGACCAACCCAAAAGAAAAGAGGATCTCTCGGAGGACTCCCACTTCCACAATGATGGCCCAGGCAATGTGAACCGGACTGCCCCCTAGGGACAACCAGAAATGCTGGACAAAATGTAAAAGGCATCCGCTTGAGGCGCTGGACAGGGAAGCAGACAGGGATGAAGCGTCAGGTGGGAAGGGGTTATGGAAACCCAGGAAGTGAGCCTGGTGGCCTGCTCAAGAATCAGAGGGGATAGCCTGCTGGCACTTGAGAGGCTGGAGGGATACATCATAGATCATCAGCAACTTCATGGGCTTGGGGGACAGGGACTGGAGGCCAGGGGAGGGCCCTGATGAACCCTCTTACTGTGGGTGGAGGTCCTGAAGGACTAAGGCATAAGATGAGCCACAGTAGACAGACCCTCCCAGAGACTGCAGCTCAGCTCCAAATAATTTCAGTTCCAGAAAATGGATTGAAATTATCCTTACTAATGATAATGTTCCCAGGTACCTGGGAGAAGCAAATATAAAAGAAGCATTAAGCCAGGCTTCAAACTGTTTCTACAAGCATCGTTGCAAATCCAAGGGCCAGCACAGAATCAAAACTCACCAAGCACAGGAGATACTACATGATGTGAAAGAAAACCAACAGAAATAATGTATGATGGAAACAGATCTGTAAGTAAGGGGCTGCAAATACCGAAGTCATCTGACACAGACTTTAAAATAACTGCGATAGGGGCACCTGGGTGGCTCAGTCAGTAGAGCATGCGACTCTTGATCTCAGGGTTGTGAGTTCGAGCCCCAGGTTGGGCATAGAGTTTACTTAAAAAAATAAAATAAATGTGATAATATTTAGGAGGATGAAAAGGAAGATTTAGAATTGGGGCAAAGAACTTGAATCCATTTTAAAAATGGGAATTACAGTTTATTAAAAAATACAATTGCTGAAATGAAGAACCCAGTGATCAGGTATAAAAGCAGACTGGACAATGCTGAAGAGAAAACTAGTGAACGGGAAGATAGGCCAGAAAAGAGGAAACAGAATAGAGCCTGGGGAGCCAAAGGATGGAAAATGCAGGAAAGTAGACAACAGACATAGAATATATAACAAAAAGATCTACCATACATATAAGTGGAGCTACCAAAGCAGGATAGAAAGAGAACTGGAGAGAAGCCATATTTGAAGAGTTAATGTCTGTGAACTTTTCAAAATTGATGAAAAAAAAATGTCATAGTGATTGAAAATATCTATGAGCCTTCCTGCACACACACACACACACACACACACAAATAGAAATCCACACTAAGGGACCTTGTGGGTTTTAAAACATGGCCCCCAAATCTTTGACACTGCTCCCATTGAGACATGATGTCTCTTATCATTATCCCATGATGTCTCTTTACCCTTTCATCTGGCTCTGCAACTGCTTTACCAACAGAATAGGGCAGAGGTGATGCTGCCCTAGTTTCTGGACGAAGGCTTTAAGAGACTGGAAGCTTCCACCTCTTTTCTCTTGAGACCTGGCTATCACGCCATGGGGAAACTGACACAACCCACAGGGACGACCCTTGGTCCTGGACCCTAGCCCTGGACAAACTCACAGCCAACAGCCTGCAGCAACTTGTCGGTTGTGAGTGAATCATCTTAGAAGTGGATCCTGCAGTCCAGCCACCCCGGCTCATGCCATGTAGAGCAGAAGAGAGCTTTTCCCACTGAGCTCTGCTCAAATTGCAGATTTGTGGGCCAAGTGATTGATCGTTGTTTTAAGCTGCAGAGTTTTGGGGTAGTTTGTTACGTAGCAGTAACTGAGGATGACACATATCGGTCAACATACTGAAACACAGCAAAAACTGACACATGTACCATATTACAAAGGCTATAAACAAAATGTGAAGAAAAATACTAAAAATAGCATAGGAGAAAGTTATCTTCAAAGACTGACAGCCAGCTACTCAGCAGTGGAAAACAGAGATAATGGAATGACATTCTTAAAGAGCTAAAAGAAAATAAACGCCAATGAGAATTCTGTACCCAGCATGCTTCCCTTTAAGTATGAAGTTGAAAGCAAAACATTTCACTAGTCAGGGGCGCCTGGCTGGCTCAGTCGGTGGTGTGTGTGACTCTTGATCTTGGAGTCGTGAATTCGAGCCCCACGCTGGATGTAGAGATTACTTAAAATAAATAAGTAAAATGTTTTTTAAAAAATTTCACTAGTCACACAAAGAGAAAGAGAGAAAAGGCTTTGTCATTAGTAGACCTACACGATAGCGGATATAAAAGGATTTTCTTTGGGTAGAAGGAACTTGATCCCATATGGATGGTCTGAGACACAGGAAAAAAATAAAATACCATGAAAATGGCAAGTATGTGGGTGAATCTAAATAAGAATTGGTGGCATAATGTCTTGTTGGGTTTAAAATAAAAATAGAATTAAAATATATATATGTACATACATATATAGCATAGAAGCCTGGAAATAAATGGGGTTAAAAAGTTCTAAGACTCATTTACTGTTCTGGAAGACACTAACGTACCAATTATACTTCAGTAAGGCCAAGGATGTGTGTTACAATCTCTTGGGTTCTATCAAGAACTGGGAAGGGTTTCAGTTTTTGCTCTACTTGCAAACTAACAAGTTAGCCTGACACAGTTTCACGGGTGCTGGCAGAAGAAACAAGATTCCTGGATCAAAGACAAAGGACAGTTTACTGCTCACAGCAACAGCAGTGGTCAGCTTGAGCATTTGTGCCAGTCCCCTGGGATCCAGTTCCCACAGGGTGACATGAAGAGGGCCAGGTGACACCTGCCCTTGTTGTGCTAGGACAGAGAGAAGCCCGGAGTGTAGGGAACTTGAATCTTCTACCATTGTTAAAAAGCAAATCTGCCGAAGCTTTGCTCTGAAGGATGATATGATTCTTATTACACAACAGAGTAAGCAAACCTCCCCCTCTGCTCTAGGGAAAGACCTGATCTCTATCTTCTAAGGCTGCTGGCTATACAAACATCCTTGTAAAGATAGCCTGGAACAAAGGAAGTCAATGTCTCTGCTTGCAAGATATACAGACCCACGAGAAACCCGTGGAGAACTATCCCCCAACAGCTGTCACTGAAAGAGAATGACAGAATGCATAACTTCCAAACTGACAGGGAGGGAACACATGGGATAATAAGAAAACACTAGATCATGAATTGCAAAACCATTACGGTACGTGAAAAAAAAAAAAAGTCATACAACCGCATGCTGTATGATTAGAAGGCAAAACCATAGTGATAAAAAGCAGACAGTGTTTGCCAGGGGCTATGGTGGGTGCAGGGGACTTACTGCAAAGGAGCAGGGAAGGAGTTTTGGAGACCACAGAACTGTTCTGTATCTTGACTGCGGTGATGGCACGTGGGTGTGTACCTTTACTGAAACTCATCAAATGCTACATGTCAAATTGGTAAATGTCATTTTTTTGTAAGTTGCATCTCAGTAAAGCTACCTAAGACTAAACAAAAATAAGGGCGCCTGGCTGACTCAGTCAGTTAAGTGTCTGCCTTCAGCTCAGGTCATGATCCCAGGGTCCTGGCGTAGAGTCCTGCATCGGGTTCCTTGCTCAGCAGGGAGTCTGCTTCTCCCTCTATCCCTCCCCATGCTCATGATCTCTCTCTCTCTCTCGGATAAATAAATAAAATCTTTTAAAAACAAAACAAAAATAGGGGTGCCTGGGTGGCTCAGTCGTTAAGCGTCTGCCTTCGGCTCAGGTCATGATCCCAGGGTCCTGGGATCGAGCCCCACATCGGGCTCCTGGCTCAGCCAGGAAGCCTGCTTCTCCCTCTCCCGCTCCCCCTGCTTGTGTTCCCTCTCTCGCTGTGTCTCTCTCTGTCAAATAAATAAATTCTTTAAAAAATAAAAATAAAAAATAAAACTCAATGCATAAGAAGACAAAAAGAAAGGAATAAAGAAAATAAAATAGGGGCGCCTGGGTGGCTCAGTCGTTAAGCGTCTGCCTTCGGCTCAGGTCATGATCCCAGGGTGCTGGGATTGAGCCCCGCATGGGGCTCCCTGCTCAGCGGGAAGCCTGCTTCTCCCTCTCCCTCTCCCCTGCTTGTGTTCTCTCTCTTGCTGTATCTCTCTCTGTCAAATAAATAAACAAAATCTTTAAAAAGAAAAGAAAATAGGTGGAACAACAACAAAAAGAAAATAGCAAGATGACAGATTTAGACTCAAATATATCAGCATTATATTAAGTAGAAATAAACTAAATGTTCCAAATAAATATAAGGAATAAGAGACAAGGATAATAGGAGAGAAAGAAAAGACAACTCCATACTCTTAACAAGATTAAAAATATAAGGAAATTATATATAAATATATAATATAGATATTATATATAATACAGATTATATTGTATTTATATATATTTACATATAAATATATATACTGCATTTTTATATATAAATATATAAATAAAATATAATACTAACCAAAAAAAAAAACTGGTGAAGCTATATGGATATGAGAC